AGTAGTCACACATGGGTATTAACACAGCCCTTTTGCCCTGGAGACTGAGGTAAATCTTGAGGCCACGCCTCCATTCCGCCTTTTGACGTCCCAGATTAACCGATGGTTCGTAGCAGAGCACCTGGAAGGAAGGGACAGAGAAAGCACACACGCATCCTTCCTGCCTGGCCCTGCCTGACCACTGAACAAACTCAGGCCCCTGGCGCAGTGCGCCCTAAAAAAGGGGGGGGGAAGTGACTACTCCCACGCCAACTTCGAACCATGCAGTTCAGGTAAGACCAACTGACAGTTTCCGAAGTGGGGCATGGGAGGAGTCACACATGGGACATACCAAAGCTAGATGTCCTTGGGAGGGATCAATGGGCCTGAGCCCCTCAAGAGTCTAAGACTCCCTGAAGGACCCTCCTCCCAAAGGCCACTTCCGCGGAGGCGTAAGCATTTAGCCGGTAATGCCTGATGAAAGGCAAGGGAGAGGACAAGGCGGCAGCCCAGCAAATCTTTTTTATGGGAGCCTGGGTGGCCCAGGCCACTGAGGTGGCTGCACTTCTGGTGGAGTGTGCTGTGATGCCCTCTGGGACCTGAAGTCCATGTGCGTCATAGGCCTTTGAGATGGCCGCTCTAATCCACCTGCTAATGGTGGCCGGGGAAACCTTGGCTCCCTGGGTAGACGCCTGAAAGGAAACGAAGAGGGCCTCTGAACGCCTAAAGGGCGCCCTGCGCGTCAGATAGATGCGCAGGGCTCTTCTAACATTCAACCAGTGCCATGATCTTTCCCTATCCCTGGAGGGCTGCAGACAGAAGTCTGGCAGAACTATCTCTAATGCCCTGTGGAAGGGAGAGTTGACCTTGGGCATGAACGCAGGGTCCAGCCTGAGAACAACCCGGTTCTCCATGAAGGTGCAGAGATCCGCTCTGCTGGAAAGAGCGTTAAGCTCAGATACTCTCCTGGCTGAGGTGATGGCAACCAGGAAGACGACCTTAAGGGTCAGAAATTGTAGGGAAACCTCCCTCAAGGGTTCGAAAGGTGCCTCCGTCAATGCCTGGAGGACCGTGGGCAGGTCCCAGGTTGGGAATTGATGGACCACTGGGGGTTTCAGATTCACCGCTCCCTTAAGGATGTGCCTTAGGACCGGATGTTGAGACAAAGGCGGTGAATCCACACACACCCCAGGACCGTGGAGAGGGCAGAGACTTGTCTCCTAAGGGTGCTGGGGGGGCCAGACCTTTCTTCAGACCTTCCTGTAGGAAGTCCAGAACCTGGGGTATGGAGGCCGAAGCTGGGACAATGTCCCTTGCTTGGCACCAGTCCGCAAAAGTGACCCAGGAGGCATTGTAGATGCGAGTGGTAGACTGCCTCCTGGCCGCCTCGATGGTCTTAATGACCTTAGGGGAGAAATGGGCCCCTCTTAGTTGTTCCCGCTCAATCGCCAGGCGGTCAGATGGAGCCACTCCGGATCGAGATGCTCCAGCAACCCCTGGTGCAGAGACACCTCCCCCAGGGGAATCCTCCAGTGAGGAGCTGAGGACAGCTCCATCAGGTCTGCTAGCCAGGGGCGACATGGCCAGAAGGGAGCCACTAGTATCATCTCTGCTCCCTCTGGCACTAACTTCCTCAGAACCCCGGGGATGAAGGGAAGGGGAGGAAAGGCGTAGAGAAGACCTGGTGGCTATCTGCAGTGAAGGGTGTCTGTGTCCATGGCTCCCCTGGATGGGAACCTTGATACAAAGCTCGGTAGCTGGGCGTTCGCTGGGGTTGCGAAGAGATCCACCGTCAGGCGCCCGAACCTCTCGCAGATCTGTAGGAAGATGCTGGGATGGAGCTGCCACTCTCCGTTGTCAACCGTTTCCCTGCTGAGCCAATCCGCTTGCTCGTTCTCTGTCCCGAAGATGTGTTCCGCTCTGATGGACTGGAGATGCCTCTCTGTCCAGTTCCCCAACCAGAGGGCCTTGTCACGAAGGGCCTTGGAATGAGTGCCCCTTGTCTGTTCACGTGGGCCTTGGCTGCCACGTTGTCCATCAAGACCAGGACATGGTGCCCGGTCACAGTGGTCTTGAAATGACGTAGCACCAGATGGATGACCCTGAGCTCCAACCAGTTTATGTTGTTGCGCAGGTCTGTTGGAGTCCAGCGGCCCTGGGCTATCTGGGCTTCCAGGTGTGCTCCCCAGCCGAACAGACTTGCGTCCGTTGTGAGTACCTTCCTTGCTGGTTCCTTGAAGAGCAATCCCCTGTCCAAAGCTGGGGTCAGCCACCAACGGAGCAAGAGCAGCACCTGGGGTGACACTCGAACCTTAAAGCTGGTGTCGCTCGTCCTGGCTCTCTGGTAAGGGAGCAGGAACCACTGGAGTTCCCTGGCGTGTAGATGAGGCACAATCCCTATACAAGAAATGAATTTCCCAAGGAGCCTGGAAAGAAGAACTACAGAGACAGAGCGTAATTTGCGTATCTCATGAACCAGCTGTACAATGCTGTCCCTATGTTCCTGGGAAAGGAAGACATCCCCAGCCACCGAATCTATAATGGACCCTAGGAGTCTGGTAGATGGGGCTATGTGGCTCTTCTCGAGATTGATCGAGAAACCCAGGGACCTGAGAGTGTCGATGGTGAGGCCCAGGTCCTGCCTGGCAGTGTCTGGGGACCTGGCTACAACAAGGATGTCATCCAGGTAGCAATGGAGTCGGATTGGAAAGGCACGAAGGTGGCCCGCGGCCAACACCTTGGTAAAGGTCCTGGGGGCTGAGGCCAGCCCAAATGGAAGGGCTCTATATTGAAAGTGACTGCCCTCATGGGAAAATCTAAGGAACCTGTGATGTTCAGGAGCGATTCTGATGTGAAGATAGGCCTCCGTAAGGTCGATGGAAGCCAGGAAATCGCCCTGTCGGATGCTATGTAAAATGGATTTCAAGAGGCCATCTTGAACCTACGGTAGACCACCCTGGAGTTGAGAAGTTTAAGATCGAGGATGGCTCTCCACCCCCCTGAGCTCTTGGGGACCAGGAAGAGGTTCGAATAGAATCCAGAACCCCTCTCCCCCTCTGGGACCTTCTCTATGGCCCTGATATCTAACAGGTGTTTGATGGCCTTAGCCTTAAGGGCCCGTTTGGCCAGATCTGCAGAGGAGGCAAAGGTACGGAATCGATTCAGGGGCTGCGACCAGAACTCCAGTTGGAGCCTGAGCTTAACCGTCTGGAGGACCCACTCATCCGAATTGACGCGCTCCCAGGCATCTGCAAAAAGGGAGAGGCAACCACCGATGGGGTGATCCGCGAATGGATCACTTGAACCTGCGGAACGGGCGACCGCCCCCTCCTTGAAAGGGCCGCTTGCTCTGCTACTGGCCTCTAAATCTGTCTCTTGGAAATTGCCTATCCCCTTGTCTATGAAACCTGGGAGTCTGGTACCTCTGAGTCTGGGCATCTGTGTCAGGCGGGCGGTAAGATGTTCTCCTGGGGTAAGGAGCCTGTCGGTGATCTGACCGTCTGGTTGTAGCCGGGAAGACCTTCCGCTTATTCTTGTCCTCCACCAAGATAGGATCCAGCGACGCACCGAAAAGCTTGTCCCCGGCGTAGTCGGCTCCTGCCAGGTGACACTTAGCCCAGGACTCTGCCTGCCAGTGGCGCAGCCATAGCAGGCGTCTGGACGCTACAGAGGACGACGAAGCTCGAGAAGCATAATAAACTGCATCCAGCGTGGCGTCTGCCGAGAACTGCGTGGCTGCCAGCACCTTGGAGATGTCCTGCAGCAGTCGTACCTCCGTGGCCAGGGTCCTGTCTCTCAGCTGTTCCAGCGACAGCACTGTTGATCTATTAAAAAAGGATGCAGAAGCGACTGCCCTAATGGCCCAGGTTATTGCTTGGAATGACTTATGCATAATCATCTCCGCCTTCTTGTATTCTGCCTTAAGACAGTTGGCGATGTCTCAAAGAGTGCTGGCAGCTCTCCAGCCCCGACAAATAAATTACAATCATTATTACCTCCCGCTCCCCTTGTTCCCGCTGTTCCTGCTGTTGAGGTTTTAACTCTGGATGTGCTGCAAAGAGCCTTAAAAGACGCCTTAACAGAACAGGCTGCTGCTTTAGAACTTAAGATAGAGGAAAAAGTTACGTCTGCCTTTAAGGAGGTCTCGTAGGAGATTTTGGGGGTCAAAGAGCTAATCCAGATTCGCAACCAGGAAATAAGAGAAGATATACTGGAAGCATTTAAAGGTTTGTCTAGCTATGTATCATCATTGGATGACAGAGTGGAAGAAATTGGTTTGGTTGGTTTGGTTTGGTTTGGTTTGGTTTATNCTTCCGTAAAGCTACTAAGTCCAAGGGGAGGGAGAAGACCAGGCGGCAGCCCTGCACATTTCTTCTATGGGAGCCTGGGTGGCCCAGGCCGCCGATGTGGCCGCACTTCTGGTGGAGTGCGCTGTGATGTCCTCTGGGACCTGAAGTCCCCGTGCCTCGTAGGCCTGAGAGATGGCCGCTCTGATCCACCTGCTAATGGTGGCCGGGGAAACCTTGGCTCCCTGGGTGGATGGCTGAAAGGACACAAAGATGGGCTTTGAATGTCTAAAGGGCGCCATGCGCTTCAGATAGATGTGCAGGGCTCTTCTGATGTCCAACCACTGCCATGAGCTTTCCCTATCCCTGGAGGGCTGCGGACAGAAGTCCGGCAGAACTATTTCTAATGCCCTATGGAAGGGAGAATTGACGTTGGGCATGAACTCAGGGTCCAGTCTGAGGATGACTCGGTTTTCCAGGAAAGTGCAGAGGAAAGAGCGTTGAGCTCAGACTCTCTCCTGGCTGAGGTGATGGCAACCAGGAAGATGACTTTAAGGGTCAGAAATTGTAGGGAAACCTCCCTCAAGGGTTCGAATGGTGCCTCCATTAGAGCCTGGAGGACCGTGGGTAGATCCCAGGTAGGGAATCGATGGACAACTGGGGGTTTCAGGTTCGCCGCTCCCTTAAGGAAGCACCTTAGGACCAGATGTTGAGACAAAGGCGGTGCACCCCCCCCAGAACTGTGGAGAGGGCAGAGACTTGTCTCCTGAGGGTGCTGGGGGCTAGGCCTTTCTCTAGACCTTCTTGCAGAAAGTCCAGGACCTGAGGTACCGAGGCCGAAGCTGGGACGATGTCCCTTGCTTGGCACCAGTCCAGGAAAGTGACCCAGGAGGCGTTGTAGATGCGGGTGATGGACTGCTTCCTGGACACCTCGACGGTCTTAATGACCTTTGCGGAAAAATATGCCCCTCTCAGCTGTTCCCGTTCAATTTCCAGGTGGTCAGATGGAGCCACTCCGGGTCCGGATGCTCCAGAGATCCCTGGTGAAGAGACACCTCCCCAGGGGGAATCCTCCAGTGAGGAGTTGAGGACAGCTCCACCAAGTCTGCTAGCCAGGGGCGGCGTGGCCAGAAGGGAGCCACTAGAATCATCTTTGTTCCCTCTGACACCAACCTCCTCAGAACCCCAGGAATGAGGGGAAGGGGGGAAAAGCGTAGAGTAGACCTGGTGGCCATCTGCAGCAAAGGGCGTCTGTATCCATGGCTCCTCTGGACGGGAACCTCGATACAAAGCTCGACAGCTTGGCAGCTGGGCGTTCGCTGGGGTTGCAAAGAAATCCACCGTCGGGCGCCCGAACCTCTCGCAGATCTGCAAGAAGATGCTGGGATGGAGCTGCCACTCTCCATTGTCGACTGTCTCCCTGCTGAGCCAATCCGCTTGCTGGTTCTCTGTCCCGGAGATGTGTTCCACTCTGATGGACTGGAGATGCCTCTCTGCCCAGTTCCCCAATCGGAGGCCCTCGTCGCAAAGGGGCCTTGGAGTGGGTGCCCCCTTGTCTGTTCACGTGGGCCTTGGCTGCCACGTTTTCTGTCAGGACCAGGACATGTTGACCGGTCACCGTGGTCTTGAAGTGATGTAGGGCCAGGTGGATGGCCCTGAGCTCCAACCAGTTTATGTTGTTGTGCAAGTCTGTTGGAGGCCAGTGGCCCTGGGCTGTCTGGGCCTCCAGGTGTGCTCCCCAGCCGAACAGGCTCACATCTGTCGTGAGTACCTTCCTTGCTGGCTCCTTGAAGAGGGATCCTTTGTCCAGTGCTGGGGTCAGTCACCAACGGAGCGAGAGCAACACCTGGGGCGACACTCAAACCTTGAATCTGGCGTTGCTCGTCCCCGCC